CTATATCCTAATGTTTAAACGTCCGGTTGTCTAGCGGTGTGCGGCGCCTGGGATTACTCAGACCCCGCTGCGATAGCCACCGGTCTTGCTCTTTCCCCACATCAGTCTACTCGCGGCTTACACACCGCAGAGACGCGGAGGACACTCCTTCTCCTTCAGACTGGCCACGGCGCCACGCGTGGCTGTGATCCGTCCGTTGTGCGTGCGCGCCGACTGTTGGGCGAGCGCCATCGACACTACGGCCGTGTCATCAACGGGCGGTGGGATTGCCGCGGTACTTGCTTTTCGTTCCGCATTCGGCCGGATGCACTGTCGCACGCTGTGGGTGCGCGCAGTATGAGCGCCCCCAGAAATATTCGCGTGCTGGTATGTAAATCGTTCACGAGATGCAAGAGAAAGGGGAGAGAAGTACGAGAAGGGCAAAGGGAGAGGAGATGAAAAGTGGGGAGACTCGAGAAGAGAGAGAGGAGAGAGTGAGAGAGAGGCCGAGAGAGAGAAAGAAGAGAGAGAGGAGAGAGGAGAGAGAGAGAGAGGAGAAGGAAGAAGAGAGAGAGAGAGAATTGAGAGAAAGACACCAGAGAAGAATGAAGAGAGAGACCAAGAGAGGATTGGAAAGAGAGGAAAGAGAAAAAGAGGAAAGAAGTGAGAGCAAGAAAGCAGAGCTGAGTAGAGAGAGAGGAGAGTGAGAGGGAAGAGAGAGGAGGAGAAGAGAGAGAGTAAGAGGAAGAGGTGTGAGAGAGTGCGGAAGAGAGTGAGCGAGGAGAAGATGAGTAGTGAAGGAAAAAAAGAAAGAGAGGAAGAAGAGAGGAGAGAGAGAAAGAGGAGAGGAGAGAGGCGAAAAGAGATGGGTGGACAGAGAAGGGAGGAGCGGAGGAAAGAGATGCGAGTAGGAGAGAGAGAGAGAGAGAGAGATAGAGGGAGGAGCAGCAGACGGAGAGAGAGGAGAAGGAGACAGAGAAAGAGGGAGGAGAGGAGCAGCAGAAGGGAGAGGAGAGGAGCAGAGAGAGGAGAGAGGGGAGGAGAGAAGGAAGAGCAGAGGAGAGAGAGGAGAGAGGAGGACACAGAGAGGAAGAAAGAGGAGAAGAAGAGAGGAAGCACGAGAGAGACCGAAGAGAGGAGACAGAGGCGGCCGAGAGAGAAGCAGCCAGAGAGCGCAGAGAGACGG